TATTTGATTCTTCTTTTGTTCAATTAATGTTTAAGTTCTCACTTTCAATGTTGTACTTGTACTTATCATAATTAACGTTACCAACCAAAAAGATCTTGTATGTTTTGGTATTTAGCTTAATGCTAATAGCTATAGCACCTATTAATATATTGATCAAAGTAAGTTATCCTTGGCCCTTTGGTTTGAAAGGAGAACTTGTAAGCGCATTAAAGTTAAACTCTGTCAATGTATAGAAGTTGATAACTACCGTAAGAAGTCTCTCTGCAATAATTATATGGAAAAAAAAACTTATGCTATGTAGAGTTGTAGACGTCTTTTTGTATACATAAATTTTGTCAGTAAATCAACTATGAGTATTTACTATTGTAGAATCTATGACTAAAATTTGTGTAAACTGAACTAATTCGTTATCAACATTGCAATACAATCGTTTTATTGAATGTTTCTGTTTTTTCATATAATTGGAGAATGGAGATCATGAGGTTAAAAAGTTCTTATACAAGACACTCAAAACGAGAAGGATGATTATTTTAAGGGATCATATAACAAATATACTTCGACAATGGCAAGTCCTAATACAAGATTAAGAAAAGTAAGGGGTCGTTTGGTAGGGTGCACAAGAATAATACTGAATAAGGTGTATTAGTAATGCTGATATTAGTTATGTTTGCATTAGTTATCTCACGACCCGGATTTCCCACCCTCGGGGGTCGTGATGGCGCCTACTCGTAGAAGCTAGGCAAGCCACACATCTAGAATCCATAAATGCTTTTGTTTAAAATCCATTTTTACCAATTTAATTAACGGGAAATAAATAATTAAATAACAGCGGAATCTATAATTTAGCGGAAGACTTAAACGATATAAACCAAATAATAAGGAAAAATCCACATGTGCCTCTACCCAGAACTGGTGTCACAACATTCACGGACTACTAAGATTCACTACATACAACCGTTTGAAAGAAAGTAACACTGTCTGTCTCGAATATAAGAGATAACAAATCATAAATAAAAATAGAGGAGACGCCGTGCCTGCGGACGCCTGCAAGGCTACCTCGGTGTCTCAGTGAACTGAAGGCTGGCTCCCGAGCTACTGCTGCTGTCCGGGATCTGGGTCTGTGCAAAAGAGCACAGAGTGTAGTATCAGCAAAACCGACCCCATGTGCTAGTAAGTGCCTAGCCTAACCTCGGCGAAGTAGTGACGAGGCTAGACAGGACTACCACGAATATATATATATATATATATACAACGGGAAAATAACAAGAACAAACATTTTAAAAAGGGTGGGGAACATGCTTCGGGGGTAGCAGATAATACAGACTTTCAAGAAAATAATAAAGAACATCAATAATTTAACTTTAACACGGATAAGGGAAATAAAAGCAAATTTCACTATCAGTACATATCTCGTTGAAGGCTTGCAACCCGATCCCATTTCTCAATAATCAAATCTCGTGGTAGGCGTACCACCCGCTCCCATTTCATTAAATCTCGTGGTAGGCGTACCACCCGCTCCC